ATTTGAAAGTCAAACAATCTGTGTGTTTTGAGTGTCAAGGAATAAAATTTTCAACCAGAGTACTGAATCAACATCTTTTTATTGAGACAGAATATATAACTGCTATGATTCTACCATTAAAAGATTTTCCAAAAATTGTGAATGAAAAGTAAATATTTTTATATTGTACCTTATTTTACTTAAAAATCTTTTTAAATATTTATAATTTTTATTTCACAGGTATCATTTGGTAGCTATTGTTAATTTTATTGCAGGACATTACACAACATATATACGGCGGTTTTCAAAAAATGTTTGGGAGATTCACAATGATCTCTCCCAAAAAATAAAAATTGCAACATCAGAAAATGAGATTCTACATCCTCATATGTTAATGTATATATTATTAGAATAAGAAATATTAATATTTTTAATTTTATGTATTTATTTGTCTCAAGTATAAACTAGGTACCAAATTAATGATTTTATATAATAATATATTATTTTTATTAATTTTTATTTTAACTATATTGTACATAAAGGAGATATGTACGTATAGTATACATTTTATTATTTGAATGCTATTGACATTTTTAATCTTATAATTTCTTAATATTTTATTTTATAACTTCAAAGTATGCATTTATTTATTTTATATTTTTATTTTGTTTTAAAGTTTGTTAATTTGTTATTAATATATCTAAACAAAATGTATGTACTAATACATATTTTATGATACTCATAAATTATTATGGAACAAAAAAAGTTTGCTAGCATCAACCTTTAATTTGTTATTACATATTTATAATTTTCAAGCAAAAAATTATAACCTTATTAGAAAGAATGTAAGTACTAAAAAATAATACATAGTAATAAATATTAAATATATTATACATATAACACACATTAATATACTGTATATACCTATCTAAGTTATATTACGACCAAATTGCATAAACTACACTGTAGGCTGAACTGTATAACACTGTAAGTTATAACATATAGAAATAATATAATATAGGTTGGTACATTTCATTAATTAACTATCTAGTAAAAAAGTTCAAGTATTTTTGCATATTCTATGCATTTTTTCAATTTTAAGATTTAAAGGCATCATAATATGATACAAGAGCCATATTCCAACCATGAAATGGCATATTAAAAATGTATTACATACCTATTTACAACTATGTGCTAAACTAAATACTTGATTACTCTATAATTGTTCTTAGTCAGCTAAAAATCAGAATGATTCATAAACGTTGTGGAAAGCACTAAGCCAATATTAGTTTAGTAAATACGGTTTATGATATATAAGTTGGTCCATCCAGGCCCGATATAACATAATTGTATGCCCTAGGCCCTTAGCCCCTGCAGGGTTATTGTCAAATATTTAAATCATTAAAAAACCTTCTAAGTGGGAGAAAAGGTGTGTTTTCTCTGTGTTAAGCTTTTAAAAAGAAAAATAGGCATTAAGAGCATAAAAATCAAATCTAAAAATCATAGTCACAATTTTTCGTAGGTCCTAGACACAGTGTTTATAATGCCTATGCACTAATACAACCCAACGTCCATCGACGACAAAATATATATTTTATATTTATAATATGTTTATTTGTATATTGTATTAATTATTTATTTGATAGTGTTATATAATTATTACAAACTTAAGAATAATAATACATTAGTAACCAAGATGCGACTAGTATACCTACCTACAAAATTATCGCTCCATCTGACATCTGTTTGCTTTTTATTAGGTATACATAAAATGTTTGAATCAATTATATCTAAAAAAAATAATCATTTAGATGCCTTACCATCTGGATCTCAGGTTGATGTTATATACACAGACTTTTCAAAAGCTGCTGATTTAGATTTATTTTTTCAACTTTGCTATTTATTTTCAAATTAGTATTTTTCTTCAATTCAGACTTTTTAATGAAAGCTAGTGGTTGCTGCCATAGTGACATGCAAATATTTGCTATAATCATTAGCTTTCGTTTAATCCCACTTCGAAATTTCAGGCCAAAACATCACGCCTACTTGCACTACTTCAAAAATTTAACAGCCACTTCATAACGATCACCTAAATGACTTGCAAATGTTATGAAGGAATTTGCAAATACTTGCTAATCGTGAGCTCTCGTTTGATACTTCTTTGAAAGTTCTGTGACAACTTGGGTGGGCTAACTTCAAAACTTTGAAAGCTCTTACTGGACGCCCGAGTAACTTGCAAATTCTAAAAACGGACTTGCAAATTCTTGCTAATCATTAGCTTTTGTTTGATATTGATTTCAAAGTTCTAGGTCAAAATGGGTGGGCCAATTTCACAATTTTAAAAATATATAGCCGTCAACCGAGTGACTTGCAAATTCTAAAAACGGGCTTGCAAATACTTGCTAATCGTTAGCTTTCGTTTGATATCAATTTCGAAGTTCTGGGTCAAAGTAGGTGGGCTACGTGAAGTTGGCCCAACTTTTAGTTTTTTGGATTCACGGTGAATGTTTGGACTTGCAAATTCAAAAAATAGACTTGCAAATACTTGCAAATCACTTGCAAAATAATGGCATAGGTTTTGAAAAAATTGCAACACTTAGGTGGGCCAACTTCACGAACGTCACAAATGGGGAATAAAGAACTCCCCCCTTTGTGACTGCGGTCATATTCAAACCATTAGACACATTGTGGAGATATGTCCTCAAACTAGTTACAAGGGAGGAATTGAAGGACTTCACAAGGGCGACACCGAAGCAATAGATTGGCTGTCTAGGACTCACGTTCGCCTTTAAATACATTTTTGAGCTGTTATTATTATTACTGTTTGTTATTGTTAAAATTATCAGTACATTGTAAATTTATCTACTCTAGTCCTTGTTATTTTGTTATTTTGTTAATTTAATGTTTATTTAGTTTAAGTTAATTTTGTTTTGTTTTTTCACCAATATATCTACGCCATATGAAAGAAAAAAAAAAGTACATTATTATCACTCGAAAAAGTTTCGTTGGGAAAATCACGGATAACATTTGAAATTTTAGTTGAAATAGATCGAGCTACTTTAGGCATTATTTACTAGTTTATTATTAAGTCTTTAGTTTATAATTTATAATTTATAACTCGAAATGTAAAGATGTTTTCACAACCATGTGAACACAAGAACTGATAGTCTGATAGGTACTGTTGTAAAATCGTAAATATATTTTGTCTAATAATTGTTGAACATAAAGTATAGTCTAAAATCATTAAGGTATGGTTATTGAACAGAAACAGATAAGATAAACTAAAATCAAGTTATTAACATTTATTTTAACCTACTCATTTCCTATATGCATTATACACTTACAATTTGCTGAGTACCGTTATCGAAATACATATAATATAAAATATTACTAAACCACCAAAATTGTCAAAATTTACGAAGTATGTAAAAAAAAAAAAATCAAAAATTTTTCAAAGTATGTAAAAATATGTATTTATGATGAAATATGTAAAAATATGTAAAATAAAATATGTCTTATTTTATTGCAAATCACGTGAAACGAATTTATCATTTGCAATAATTAATTTATCGTGTTTCACTAAAAATATGTATTTATATATAAATCCCAGCCCTAGTTATAACACACAGACATGAATAAAATTGTTCAATGATAATATTTTTGACCCACACTCATTACAATTATTAAAAAGCTTTGATAGACATTCCCAAAAAACGATAAAACACTCATTCTTGTTTAAATTTATCATTTTTTGACTTACAAGTATTATAATTTTTTTTCGATTCTGTAGTCTCGTCATCACTGGTATTCTCGCAGTCTTCGGATTCCGATTCTATTTCAAACGATAAGTCATTTTTTTTTTTCATAGTTATTTACTTTGTTCAAATTTTTGTTTCCTAATTCACACTGTATACCTATTTCACTTGTTTTTTGATTTTTATTATTGACATCGGTCTCCTCAATAGCTGAAACATCGTCAATTCCTTCAAAACACGACGATGTCGTTATCATTTTTTTCTTCGGTGTACTAGTTCTTATTACATCATTAATTATCTCTGTTTGGCGTTTTTTCAAAATATGCAGTGATTCTTGCCTCGGATTTATAGATATTTTTGAATTGCTTATACCAATTTGAATACTAGGTACAGCGTCGGAATTTAATCTTACAATGCACTTGAACTCTGGCCTAAGTTGTCTTTTTAAAACATCTGATTGATTAAAATCAAGCGGGAGAAAATGTTTAGAACAAATAACCGATCCAACACTAGGTTTAAAATTTTTTCTTTTACAAAAATGCTCCCATTTTCGATGCCGTAATGGTGATTTATTGCGTTTTGGAAAAGTGTAAAAATGTAAATTATTATCATTATCAACTTTTTTACGCTTATGATCGTTATTTGACGCACAACCAAATACCGAGCACAAAGTCATATTTGTTTGATTATAAATAAAACCAAAAAACACGCAGATATTTCGATACTTTACGGTACACACTGTCAACTGTCGACTGAGGTCTGACTGTCTGAGGTATAATTTGTATTTGCGCGTAATGTGAATAGCCTGTTTATTTTTATCAATTACTTTATATTACACAAAATATTAGCAATTTATAAAAGCTATAAATAATATACTTCATTGTGATTACGTATACAAATCCATAAGGTCGACTATTGCAGAACCTACTGCAGTGTGCGCTGACTGATTCAACTGCTACTAGAGTTTATAACAGTAAACGAGTTTTGTTCTATTTTGAATTTTGTATTTTGTATTACAATTGTTATGTCTATAACTCTGTACAATTTTGAGCCTTTGATTACCGATGTTAATAACTATGATTATTTGGAGTACAAAGAATCAGTAGTTAGTTACAACGATAGATCTAAATTAGCTGTCACAGATTGGTGCTCGTGTGGAAAATGTGAAAAACAAATAAATGATCGTGAATGTGTTTGTTGCTTTGAACTTGCGAGTATTTTTAAAATATGCACAAACAATGAATGCATAACAAAAAATGCTTTATTTTCAAAAATTATATTAGATGAAGACATTTTAAAAATTACCAGACAATACATGATTTCAAAAAACAAAGAATAAAACAAAAAAAAAGAAGTTTACAATCAGCTACTGTGGAAAATAAAGCATGGCGATATATTTGCTACAAACAGTTTACACTTTGGGTTAATTCATGGATGACAATTGGAAGAGGTTAGTAAATTTATTTTCGATAATGTTACAGTGATAAAGTCATAGGTAGGTAAAAAAATCTAATAATTTATTCTTTATTGTGTTTCGTACTATAGGGAATAGAGTTGTTATTCCATCATGTGTGGTCAAAAATCGGGAACGTTATCCAGAAGAAAAAGGATTGTATATTGGTTTTAAGAACCAGTTATTCGTAGTATAAATTAAAATAACACATTTGTTAATACGTTACATAATAACGGATTATAATATTATTAAATATACCGATGTATATTAATAACCTATTTATGTTTGATATTTTATATATTTTAATTTTTGTCTTTCCTATAAACTACCCTGAAACAAATTTTAAGACAATAAAAATAATATGACCATCTAAAGAAATTTATAATCTTTTTATAAATTTACTTAATAACTTGTACCTTTAATCAATTTTTCTCTATAATTATTTTAATCGTGCTAAATAAATTCCACGCGTGTATATTAGATGCGGGCCATCGGACGGTGTGATTTTATGACGTCACGCGTAAAACGCGACTTAAATTTAAACACGGAACCAATTGTCCAACAAACATTTTAAGACTACCAAAATTATTCTTTTTTAAAGCCCTATACATTAACACAATAAAAAAAAAAATAGATTTTTTTTAGTTGTATAGTCCTTTAAAGACATTGTAAATAAGAATATATATACTAACTTTATGAGTTTATATGTTTCAATGTTAATACTATTGAGTCCAGACTATATGCGCTATATAGATTATGCTGAATCATTATTTGACTACTTTGTGAGAACATTTGAAGAAATGTATGGTGGTCAGTATGTTTCTCACAACATTCATGGTCTTTTACATATAGTTGATGACTATAGAAGTCATGGACCACTCGATAGTTGTAATGCTTTTCCATTTGAGAATTATATGAAAACACTCAAATCTAGAATTAGGAAACATGATAAATCGCTAGAACAATTAATTAATAAATATAATGAAATATATAATAATAAGAACATCAACTCAAATTTATCAGAGCACTCAACAAATCAACAAGCGACATTATTAAAATATCGTAAAAATAGCCCTTTAGTAAAAAATATTAATGAATTGCAGTATTATAAATTAATAAAAAATACATTCAAATTAAATACTAAAGTTGATCGTGAAAATTATATCTTGACTAAGTCTGGAGAAATTATCAAATGTTTGAATATTGTTAAGACATCAAATAACAAAATCATGATAATCGGAAAATCATTTGAAAGGAAAAAAGCACTTTTAAAAAAACCTGTAGATTCAAGAATATTTAATATTTTCATCGTGCAAAATTTGGGTGAAAATTCCAACCAGAGCAAGATGATTTTTTGGACACAGCATATAATTGTTGTGGAATTTATCTACCATGTTGGTGCCAGGTATCTCAGTTAAAATTGACATGTCCCCTAATATTAGATAATCATTATCGTTCTTCTTCACAAAGTGTTCATGTGTACGCTTAACAACATTTACATCAGGGAAGCAAACTCTTCGCTCTAAATATACACCCATGGTTGTACACTTTGTACAAGATGAAAACCTTCCGTGCCCTTTTGTCCCAAGAATATAACTACGAGCAGGCAAATTACAGCAAAATACATGGACTTCTATATTTCTCTTACCACATGGCAGATAAATACCATTAACACATAATTCTTTTACCTCCTTAACAAGTTCAGATAAAAAGGTTGCCGTTTTTTGGTTTTTGTTTTCCCCAATACAAACCAACTAAGAAAACAGGAGATTTAATAATATATTGTTTATTAATGTTGCAAAGAATAGGCCAAAATTGACTAGCTGAACTTTTAGCCAGTGGTAAAACATCAATACCCAGAAGTATTTTAACTGTTTCATTGTTTAAAATCATATTTCCAATTAAATTTTTATTCCTTTTTCAAGACCAAAATGATGGTACATACCAGGATACATTTCACTAACTTCTAAAGATTGTTTAGAAGTTTTAGTTTGTAAAAGAATTCTAGCATCTACTGGAAAATCATGGGAACATTTATGATTAAAATGCAATACTTTTAATAGATCTGACAATGCCACATTTGTTATTTTATGCTTTACAACCCAGTTAGATAATTTATACATTATATTATCAATTAAGTTATCCCCGCCGTCTGATTTTGAACTTGAAATAATATTATCATCAGAATTCAAAGAATTTTCTACATAGACATTATTAGCAAAAACAGAACCACTACTAGTTGGAATTTCAAAATATTCTTTTTCAACAGTAGTTTTACTTAAAACCTTTTCATTTTCGGATTGTGTAATTGGTGATGAACTTTTTTCAACACAAACTACATTACTTTGATATTCAGAATAATTATTCAAAACAACAAAAACCAAATCATCAACCTCTTCTCTAATTAATCTTCTTTTAGTAGATTTACTAAATGCGTTTGAAGTCATTTTTACAAATATAAAATAAGCAGGTGCCTATAATAGCCATAATGCTATACCTATAATATATTAACTAATTTATAAAAAACTTTATATAATAATAATAAAATTACTATGTATCTATTGTAATAACTAATAATATAATATAACACGAATATAAAATAGTTAAAACAGTTTATTATAAAATAACAAGCTGACCCGGCAAACATTGTTTTGTCATATAAATTATAACTAATGAATATTTTGGTATTCAAATAAAAAATAATTAAATTATTGTAAGTGAGAGGGAATGTCGTATACTGGTATATGACTGAGATGAATGGAGCACTGTGAATGATGACGACCCATAAGAATAACAAAACAAACAAATATTAATTTTTTTGAATTCATTGTAATCGTCTTTTTTAATTTTGTTCAGCTTGTGCCTCACGCAATCGCACCATGTTCACACGTACATTTTCATTATTCGGTTGAATTTGTTCGTCTCTACTTTGTGTTCTTCTATTTTGCATGTTTGTACTTTTGGTCGTTCGATGGGCCAAATCAGACCCCTTGCGTCTTGCTGGCATTGTGCAAAATACACAAATCGATACAATTAAGGCTGGGGCCACACGAGTGTACATAGTACACGTGTTATAACATACGTATATTTTGATGCACGTATTTATCAGTTCACACAACCGTTAAATATTACGACTGTAGATTCATTATTTATATATTCAAACAGTGTAGCACCAACGAATAGGGCGAACACCTGCACATCGTGTTATTTAATATAATAATTAAGACTTGATCACACGTCCCAGACTTCTCAGAATAGATGATTAAACGATAGTGTTAACATTGTACTATTTAATATAACAATTAAGACTTGATCACACGTCTTAGATTTCTTGGAATTGATGAAATCGCAGGAAATGCACCCAACTGAATAATACATTTAATTTAGAGAGCTCCTTTAGGTCATCGGAAGTCGCCACCTCCTCAGCACCACTCTTGACGGTTAACCATATATAAGGGAGACCTGGGCAAGAGCTGAGGAGACGGTTAGGGATATTCAAGACGCTCAGAGGCAGGTCGTAACACCACTCACTCCATCTTGTGCTTATAAAATTGTATTCTTGTACGAGTTAATTGTATTAAATAAAGACTTAATCTTTTAACTTGCAAACATTAGTATTTCTATTTCTACGTTGATATATGAATCGACGTTGACATAAGGGACGCAACATTATGTATGATTTTTGTGTGCATAATTCTTAAATTAAAAATGCCTAAATGTTTTAAATGTTTATCAAATCTTGCAAATTTTAATTTATTATTTTTACATTTTAAAGTTCATTATGCAAATACTATAACATTTTATAAGTGTCTTGAAGATAACTGTTTAAGATCCTTTAGTAGCTTAAATTCATTTAAAAAACATGTTAAATCTCATATTAATAATTCTCAAATTTCATATGATTTGAATAATATTTCTAACAGTAATAATTTTAACCTGTCTGGTCTATCTAATAGCAATATTATAAATAATAAAATATTAGATGAGTCTGTAAAAATTAAAACTGTCAATAATGACAATAATTATGAATCATTTGTGAATAATAAAGCAGTTGAATTATTGTCAAAATGGTATAACGAGTCAGGGTTACCAAGAAATTAAGTTCAAAGTATTATGAATGATATTACAACATTTTTAAATGATATAGCTCCTCCTTTGAAAAATGAGATAGAATTAAATTTTGCTGATGATACCATTATAACATGTATGGATAATAATTTTAATATTTTGTGTGATCCTTTTAAAAATTAAAATACAGAGTATAAACGATTTAAACTATTTAAAGCATTTCATAGCTTGGGTACATTAATAAAACCATCTGAAACTGTTGTAGGTTATAGACCTAATGATTCTCTCCAAAGGGAAGATGTAATTATTAAATAAATTCCTATTAAAATTTACAGTGTACAACTAGAGAAATTTTTAAAACAATTTTTTGAAGTCCCAAATGTGTATTCTACATTATTAAAATATTCTGAAACTATAATAAAAGCCAATGATAATTTAATACATAATTTTGTACAAAGTCAAATGTGAAGAGATAAAATTTTGCAGTCTGATAAATCATTAAATACTTTTTTTTTTGTATTTTGATGATTTTGAAATAAATAAACCTCTTAGAAGTCATGCTGGAGTACAAAAGATAGGAGTAATTTATATTAGTTTGCTTGGTTGCCCTCCTAAATTTGCTTCTAAGTTAGAAAACATTTTTATGATTTTATTGTTTAATACTGTTGATAGGAAACAGTTGGGGAATCGGGAACTCTTCAAACACATCATTTCAGAATTTAATGATTTAGAGTCCAAGGGTATTCAAATATGTGTTAACAATCAAAATATTCAAATATATTTATCATTGGCTCTAATATTAGGTGATAATTTAGACTTACACAGCATTTTAGGGTTTTCAGAAAATTTTAATGCCAAATATCCATGTAGATTTTGTAAATGTTCGAAAGCTGAATGTCATTCTTTAACACTCCGAGATAATTCTAAACTTAGAACAGTAGAAAATTATTCAATTGATGTCAACATTAAAAACTTATCGATGACTGGTGTTGTCAAATCTTGCATTTGGAATGATGTTACCTCCTTTCATGTTGTAGTAGTATATATTTGTATGTTCACAGCATTTTTGGGCAGGGAGATTTTAAAAGTTTAAGGGGGAATATCCTCCTTGAGCTCATTTTCGTCTCGGTGTAATTTAACCCGTCGTTGGTGACGTTATTTTTATAACACTGTTGTTGACGTGTGAGCGAAACGCTCACACATTAATATAAATAGTATTTTTGATATAAATAAATACAAATAAATTTGTTTAATTGTATAAGTATCAAATGTATTAAATATGATTAACTGACAAAACATTTTCTTAAAAATAAATAATTAAATTTAAAACATTTGGAAAATAATGAATGCTTTTAAGTTATAAATGATTTAGGTATACAATTTTATTCCGAATATGAATTGTTCATGTCTAGTTCTGATTCTTCTTTATTTGTACATGCTATGCAAATATGGAAGGTGTGTTCTTTGCATATATAGCTTTGACATGTTTTATTAGAACAACGAGTCTGCTAAACATATTTTTGACTATAAATTTATATTATAATACGCATTATAAAAATAGAACAACTTGTAAAAAAATGAATTATTTTACCTTTGTGAATCGATTTTTTCTTGTTGGACAGAAGTAACATTTTGTACGGCTTGTTACTACATCACTGGTTGTTTCCTCATTTGACTTAAATCCAGTCAATTTCAAAATATTTTGACGAAGTGTAAATGATAAAGTAGGAATTTGTAAACGTCTAGTCATGTGATTTTTGGTTAGTTCTTTCCCTAATTCTTTCAAAAAAAGCCTTCGGGGGATTACTTTATTTTTGTTCTCGTAATATATTATCTAGCTATTTATACCGGCAATATTCATTAGTGAAAAGAATACTGTAAGTGACCACCTACAGCTTACTCTTGCGACAGAGTACTCTTCTTTTTTTTCATCCACAATATCAACACCTGATTTTATTGAATTATAGTATAAAATCACTTCGGGTTTTTTGCCAACTGTACTGTCATCAATCAAACCTTTTTCGTGCATTGTAGATATTAGCATAACATTTTTGTTTTTACGTGGAACGTAGGATAATAAAATAATATTTTTCCCATAACCGAATATAATTGAATTTACTTCTCTTTTCTTTGTATCTAGAAAGCATTTCGGAATTTCTCGTTTATTTTTCCTAATGGTTCCCACAATAGTCAATTTATGATTTTCCAGCAAGTCAATGGCCAGTGGTATTGAGGTATACCAATTGTCCATAGTTATGTTTCGTCCGGTTTTTGATATTGTAGAAATTAACCTTTTTACAATGCTGGAGGGACTATTATCACATTTGAATGGTCCATCTGGTTGGGTGCCAACGTATACTTCCATATTTGACGTGTAATATGTTTTAGAGTCGACTAATGCTTGTATCATTATTCCATATTTATTCGGTTTGCTCGGTATATATTGCCTAAAACTACATCGACCTCTAAAACCTTCCAACATCTCATCAATGGTGCAATTCTCACCGACGGAATAACATTCAAGACAACGTTTTATAAATCCGTCAAAAACAGAACGTATTGGTGCTAATTTGTCTGTAGTCCTTCTATAATTTCTTGTTTCAATGTCATCAAATCTGAGTGCCCGTAGTAGAATGTAAAATTGCTGTTCAGACATGGTTGATCGGAAATATTCCGGTCGAAACCCTTCATCACACCATAAATCCTTTAGATTTACATGCCTACTGCGTAGAAATCCTGCTAAGTATAGTAGACCAAGAAGCGCATCAATTTCTTCTTTATCGGTATCTGGTATAATAGTTGATCGTTGATATTTTGCACGTATTTTTGGTAAATATTTATTTGTACATATTACCATTTCAATGATCACAGGGTCAGGGAAAAATAGTTTCCAGCAATCTAAAATAGTTGTAGCATTCTTAGCGACGGCATTGACACCAGGGCGCTGAGTTACAATGTTATGAGCACGTTGTTTAGTTTTATTAGGAAGAAAGTTTTTATACCATTTTGTTTTTTCATCTTTACTCAAGTAGAACTCATGTTCAGAAGCATTATCGGTATCGCCAAAATCATCATCATTTTCACTTTCATTTTCACTATTATTATTACCTGGTACGAAATTGGGATCAGCGTCAGAATCATCACTATCCTCTAATTCTAGGTCTTCGTCAAATTCATCCAACCAAGCACATACTTTGTGATCACTCTTACGAAACATTTTTTACATAAATCTTTTGTAAACACGTAAATAATATAATAACGTAATAATATATTTTACGCGAAAAATAACGTTCAACAGTACGATGAAGATACACCGGCGGTACTGACAAATAATAATAATAATACAAATATGTAATATGGAAAATATCTTATAATATAAAACGAAGAATAGTAGCTACACGGGCCGATAGGTTTAGTGTCCCGACTCAGGGACGGCGCCAAGGGGTGGCGAGGGGGGCGATCGCCCACCCAGTATAAGTTCTCGCCCTGCTCTCGCCCCCCCCACCAAGACATTTTAACTCCTATTAACTGGTGTATGACTGTGGAACACTAGAAAAAGCTAGTTCCCAACGACCCAAGTCCCAACTTTTGTAATATAAACGATTTTTGAACACAAGTAATATTCTGAGATTTCGAATAACCGGACCATGGCCATCTGGTTCCTCATAATGTTTATCGACGATTATTCACCATCACTGTAGCAGTGTAGTAGCGCTATACTTTATAGTTTGTACAGTTTACGTATGTATTTATTTTTGATTTATTATTTCGTAATCGTAAATAATAAATAGGATGATGTTCCTTGTTCGGTGTTCCACTCTCCGTAATTTTGCCGTAATCGATAAAAGTGGCACGATTGTCGATTAAATGTTTAAAAATATCGGCGTTCGCCTATTAGTCGGGTTTTCCACACGACTTGTCATTGCTCGACATATTTTGTTCATTGTATATGTATGTGTGTGTTTATGCGCCCGCTTTGCCGCGTTTTGTTTGTATATAGATATAATAGATAAATTTATATTAATCTCAACATTCTCAACAACCATAACGGCAACACTCGCGACAGTTTATACTTTATAGCCACCGATGCGACTGTATGACCAGTTTAAGCGTTTAACACGTTAAAATATTAAAATGAGTGTTAGAAAAATTGATTCTTACTTTGGTCCTCAAACTAGTTCGACTAATGAAGAAGAATTACAAAAAAAACAAAAAACTACAAATATAGTGGCGGAAATTACTAATTTGGTGCAATCATGGGATGTGCAAAGTGATTTAGACATAAACACAAGTAAGTAACCAACACTACAGTACTACTTACTAGTTACTACCATCATCAGTGGCGTATTTAGGTTTTTGTCATTGGGGGGGGGGGGGGGATGTGACTTAATACAGTAATTACAAACTCGAGGGGGGATACACCCCCCTCATCCCCAAGTTTCTGGAAATAAGTTTATATAGTTTCATTAACATTTAATATACAATCTATGTTTGAGTATGTTGCCAAAATTATAATATATAACACGTTAGTACATTACTAGAGATTAAATATTTTATTAAAACAAAATTGAATTAAGTTGAGTTAATTATTACATCACAAAATCAATAATTGATGAAAAAAAAAAAAAATTAATATTTTAAAAAATACGATGACTATAATCATTTGTATTTATACAGCCTGTCGGCCTATGAGGGGAGATTGATCACCATGATCCCCCCGTAAATACGCCACTTACCATCATACTATCCTATTATTCATTACCTTAATTGGTGAATTTAGGTTAAAGGTCCAGATACGCTATTTAGTTTACAAGGTTTTTAAAGTTTAATGTTTTATAGGTAGTTGTGACGAATCGTCAACAGATTCAGACGGTGCTGATTGTGATTTAGTAAAAACTGCACATAACAAAGATCAAGTAAGCATTAAATCTTTATTACCTCAAAGTGGACCATGTGACATCACACAAGTTGTTTCTGATAACCCTACTCAGCCGGTGTTAAAAAATTATCCACGAACAAAATTTGGCAAAGAATGGCGAAATTTTCATTCTGAATGGTTTAAGTTGTATCCATGGTTAGAATACAGTATTTTGGAAAATTCATGTTATTGCTTTCCTTGTCGATTTTTTTGAACTGATCCTTCTGGATCGCCGTTTTCCGAATCAGGATTTAAGAATTGGAAAAAAGCCATGGAAAAAAATAGTGGTATAAAGCAACATGATAAATCAGTTTCACATAAATTATGTATGACTAAATGGGAAGGATATAAAATGACTGAAAAAACTGATAAATCTATTTTAGCCCTTATTAATAAAGAAAATGAGACACTAATAAAAGAAAATCGTTATTATATTGCAACAGTTGCAGAAATATTACTTTTTACAGCCCGTCAAAACATTGCTCAACGTGGAGATAATGAAAGTGGTGAAAGCATAAATAAAGGTAATTTTTTAGAACTTTTAAATCTTTGTGCTAAAAGAGATAAAAGATTACAAAAAAAAATCGAGGAGTTGCCTAAAAATGCAAAATATACACATCACAGTATACAAAATGAAATACTTAGTATTATGAGTCTAATGGTTATTGAATCAATTGCAAATGAGGTACAAAAATCTAAATACTTTTCGGTTTTGGCGGATGAAACCAAAGACATCAGTAAAACTGAACAATTATCAATTATGGTACGTTATTTTTACAACAATACAGTAAATGAACGGTTTTTGGGATATGTATCTTGTTCTGAACTAAATGCCAAGGCCTTATTTGAATTTATTAAGAAAACTTTAGCAGCTTCTGGAATAAACATCCAAAATTGCATAGCACAGACTTATGATGGTGCTTCCGTAATGAGTGGTTACCAAAATGGTGTACAAGCAATTTTTCAAAAGGAAGTACCAAAAGCATTATACACACATTGTTATAACCACCGTTTAAATTTAGTTATTGTGGATGTTTGTAAAAATATTCCAGAAATTGAACAGTTTATAACACTTCTTCAACAGTTGTATAATTTTGTAAGCAGATCTACTGTACATATGGTTTTTTTGGATCTCCAGAAAAAAATTTTTCCTAAAAAGAATACTATTGAACTAAAAAAGTTATGCGAAACCAGATAGATTTGTCAGATATCAGCATGTGTTGCTGTAAGAGAAACGTTTTCAGTTATACTATTACTTCTAAATAAAATCAGTGTGGAATCAAAATCTGATAAAAGTATGGAGGCAAAATCCATTTTAGTGCACATAAATTTTGAATTTATTTTTTGTTTACATCTCTTTTGTGATACATTTAGTCAAATAAAAATTGTATCTGATTATTTACAATTACCCAATTCAGATATAGGAACTAGTTGCTTAATGGTCGAATCATTAATTGATTATCTTAAGGAATTTCGAACAGTTGATAGATTATTTAATGTGCTCTTGGAAAAAGTTGTTTTGTTTGCGGAAAATAATAACATTCTATTGCCTGAAGAAAACATAATGTGTAAAAGAACTAATCGTAAATTGCCTGTTAGATTTGCATCTTATATTACAGAACTACCGACATCTGAAAATAGTACGGTTATGTGCAAGAATGATGTAAAAATAATCATATTTAATCCTGTAATTGATAGAATGATCAATGAACTACAACGAAGATTTTCTGATAATAATCCAATATTATCTGGTATAAGTTCCTTAAATCCTCAAAATAAATCCTTTTTAGACTTTCAAAAATTATTACCTTTTGCTAAGCACTATGATGTTGATATTGAAAGCTTGGAATCTGAACTTAAGTTAATACCCAAACTCATAAAAAGACATCAGATAGAAAAAAAAACTAAAACTAACACTATACTCGATTTCATTCAATTATTAGAATGTTACAAATTGGCTTTTTCTGAACTATATTTACTATGTACCATAGCAATTATCATACCTCCTTCCAGTGCCGGAGTGGAGAGAACTTTTTCTAGCCTCCGACAAATTAAAACTTATTTAAGAAATAATATGATTAACTCAAGACTAACAGATATAGCAATTCTTTCAATTGAAAAAAACATTTCTAAAAATCTAGATATGGAAAAGGTTGTGGACAAGTTTTCTGCTGCTCATCACAATCGAAAAATAATGCTTATTTAAATTTTTTATTTTTTTATTTGAGTTGTATTTTTATTTTTAAATATTACTATTATGTATTCAATTTATGTTAAAATATGCAGAAATGCACCTATACATTTAAAATGTTTTTATGTTTAAATCATAGGTCCTTTAATTGTATTTTTTATTTTAAAATATTACTATTATGTAATAAATGTATGTTACATGCAGAAATTCACTTTTATATTTAAAAATTGTTTCATATTTAAATGTAACTAATTACTATTATATATTAAATTTATGTCTTATGCTGCAATGCACCTATACAGTTAAAATGTTTTTTTTTTAATTTTTAAATCATAAGTCCTTTAGTTGTATTTTTTATTTTCAAATATTACTATTATGTAATAAATTCATGTTACATGCAGAAATTCACTTATACAATATTACAGTGTTTACTGATACATAAATCAATTATCATTAACTAACTTTTTTTTTATTGTTATTGAAAGAAGTAAAATTGTTGAACTTGCCCCTTCAAAAAATGTACTTGCCCTTTACCGCCCCCCTAGAAAGAAAATTCTGGCGCCGTGCCTGTCCCGACCAATCGAAAAATTCCGTTTTTTTTCTTCCAGTCGTTCTCCCGTATTATCTCCCCGTCGTTATCGGTTCATTTGCTCATTACTCTTTGTTATTGTTTTTATTATATACCGTTTTTTCCGCTTTTCCGGCCTTTCGAGACCTCTTTCCGTCGCGTTCTCGACGCTATGGCCCGGAGCGGGTCTTTTTCGTCCGGTCCGCGCGTCTCCGGATGATTTCGTTCGCAGCCGTCGCCGTCGCGTCCGGAAAAAGCGTACTCGCGGCGCGTTCTCCGGTCGGTCGTCGTATCGTTAATACTGTTTTTTTCTTTTTACGATACGATAAATCGTTTATCCGTATCCGAATACGCGTTTTTTTGTTTTCGGTGTCTCCGCCCTCGGACGCCTCCGCGACCTCATCGTCTCGATAGTGTACGAAATACGATTATATGTGTAATAATAATTTATTGTATAAAAAAAGAAACGTGCGTACCTTTGTTGACGTACGTCAGATCGTGTTTATTATATACGAAAAAATCGCAAAATCGTTGCTCTTCAGTCGTTGTAACGCCTTTCATCGCATACCTTTGGGGGGATATCGTGATACGTGTGTATGTGATGATAAACTCGGTACGTCGTTGAGACGTATACGATTAAAAAATGTAAACGAATACGTCGGAAACGCTCTAAACGACAATAAATATGCGATTTACGGTTTCGTGACACGCGAATCGTAAAAATTGTACGGGTTAAACGACGTATAACGTAGTATTCGTCGCATCTCTAAAACGGTTTAAGTGCTCGAGATTCGGTTACGGTTTTCAACTCAAACGGTAGTCAATAGGTGTTAGGATAGGTTCCCCGACGTTAGGTAGGCATGTTCGAATCCCGTTCCGGCGCATTCCGGGCGGCCCCTTAAGAAACTACACGCACGGAATTTTTTGCATTTTTTTTTCATTTAATTCGATCGTTATTAATTGCTATTTTCGTTTTAATATCCTGTCTTACACTACTACTCATAAAATATTTTTCAAATATTGCTTGATTGATGAATATATTCAATAAATATGTATATTTATGTGTGTACATGAAACATTATAACTTATTATATTATATATACTTAACTTAATTAAAAATAAAAACCAATTATAGTTATTGCTAACAGTTTGCACAATTCAAATATACATTAATATGTGATATGCAACTTATATTATAGCCTGAGAACATTCTATTGATTTATTGATGAAAATACAGTTGTTTCACTCAGTTTGACCGTGAATTCATTATTTTATATGTTTAGCCTTTCAATTGTTTACATTTGAAAGGTACAGGGGAAAAACACTGGTAGTCCATTTTTTTTGATTTTGATTTTATGGTCTGATTCAATAGCAAATAAAGAGTAATATCGACAGTTGAAATCGATTCAGTGAAAAAATCTTTCAGTCAGTCCACAGTTATTAAATGAAAAAGATTAGGTAAACTGGTGAAGAAATATTTTAGTCCATAACTATATTTTTGCTCCCCTGAAAAATTTTTAGAAATGGATACTACTGTTTTTCCCCTGTACCCTTTATTTGGTAGCTTTGGTGTACGATTACTAACGTTCATGTGATGCCTATTATTTTATTTTAATTTTTTTATTACAAGTAAGCTATGTACTAATTTTTATTACAAGTAAGCCATGTACTAATTATGATTTGTATTAAATTCATCATTGGTTATATATTTGTTTATTTATATTTTTTTTAATACAATTAATTATTAACTAGGTACTAAAAATTATTTAATACTTCATATACTAGGATAATTTTATGTTATTTCTAAGACTTCTATATAATACATTTGTTACAACGCTTTTAACAAATAGAATATAGTATTGTATTTAAATTGAAAAAAAATTTGTATATGAACAAATTCTTATGGAAATGTTATTATAGTAATATACTTACTTTAGTGTAAAATGAACACTCATTAGTTCCAATTTATGTTTCCCTACTATTAATATACTATATAGACCATACACTATATAGACCATACATTATTTAGTCAAATAAATACACACTTATATCATCTATACTATATGATATACCTTAAGCATATACGTATGAGGACAAAGGAAAAACCTTTTAAGTAAAACACAAAGAATTAAAAAAATAAAAATAATTTATTCTGAAAAAACATACAAAAAAAATTAGATTTTGAAAAAATAGAAGAACAGTAGTAAAAATAGAACCTTACCTAATTCGTCATAAATGGATGAGGTATCGTCGTTTTCTGGTTCCTATAAAAGATGAATTTTTTACAATAAAATAATTATAACAAAAAATCATTTTTAACAATACTTACAACAATCCTCATTTCAGCCAAGCAGGCTGTGGTCGCTGCAATCTCGGGTGATTCATTCGGTGGCTCCTCCACCATCACCCTTGGTTGTTCAGCAACCACCGCCTGCTCATTCTGTATTTTTTTCGGTCTCCTGCCTGGAATTATTTACGCAAAATAATTTAGTTATATTGTTTACGTTTCCTATTACATTTTATATATACATAAACATATAGATACTACAAGTATATAAAACATACTTACAATATTTGGCCAAATGACCAAATTTTTGGCAGTTGTAACATTCTGAAGCATAAATATATTATATTATACATTATTCGTTAATATAGTTAAACTTATTATTCATACTTACTTTTTTTTTTAAAAGCACCATGTCGGGCGCCACGGCCACCACCGCCACCACCACAGCCACCACCGCCACCACGGCCACCACCGCTGCCACATGACTGTCCCCCGAAGGAGACAGTCATGTTGATGGTACAATTTTTAATATTTTGCATTTTTCTAATAAATATAAATATTAACATAATAACAAATATATAAAACTTAATTTTCAATTTACATAAGAAAAATATGTAGGATATGGAAAAATTATTGTTATTATTGTTATATAAAAATAATGTAATATAATATAATATACTCACTTGCACGGTTGCACGTTCAAAATGGAAATGAATGACGATTTATTTATATTATTAATATATACACAAAACAAAACACGTTGCGTGCCTAGGTACTCATTCTTTGTGATGATACCAATACCGCGATTCTGTTCATAGATTCATTCCATCTTTCCATTCATCGATGAGAAGTTTTTATGTATACAACAACATAATAAATTGAAATATGATTAATATATATATAATATTATTGCATATTCGCAATATTTGGTAATACTGGTATTATGTGTTTTCGGGGTAGAGAGGTCGAAGAACATCGTGCTCCTGGGTCCGGTGTTTCTACTCCGAGCAGCTTTTCTACGACGAACGTTGTGCAATACGTTTGACCGTAGTCCGTACGACACATTATAGTGTTGTATACATCTGTAATAGGTATAATTTGTACAAATCTTTTTTTTTTCTGCTTACATTTAAATATTTTTTTTTTTTTTTTATTAATTTGTTCGATCGACGTTTTAGACCGGTGAGTACAAGTTTTATTATTTACGATACGACGATGACGTATTTGAGTATCTTGCGTAAATATTTATTTATATGACCGTCACGAGTATACCCGTTAAAATCGGCATTTTTAGGCTGCCTTTAATTCGGAAACTTTTGTGTAATTTCATGAAAGCTTTGAATTTTTTTTTGTTTCAAAACTTCTTTATGACGTTCCCGACACGATTATCAGACATCGCCTAATATTTTTCCTTCGTGTTGATTTGTTGTATTCCGTTTTTAATTTTTAAAACAGTTTGGTATACCTACACATCATTTATTTTAATTAATTTTAATTTAAATTTAATTTATAATATATAATTTCTAAAAATAACTCATAACATTCG